GGGTAGGAACTTTGCGCCCATACAATGTAGAACATATACCACACCTAACCTAAGATATAATACACTGTGTAACAGTGTTAGTGAAGGTGTAGAAAATGTACGCAATATGCTTTTTATTTTTAAAAGAGAAGGAATGGCTATGGAATATACAATTTAAATTATGATCATGGTTCTGTAGGTGCGCCTAATTGCACCATTCTTTTAACTTGCATTTTGTTAACCTAGACACATTGCATAGACACATTTAATAGACAAAGTTGGTGACCTCTTATTCTCTGTTAGCAATTTACAGTTTAATATAAATACAAAGTGCTCCTAACGGCGTGTCTCGTGATTTCACAGATTAAAGAAGATGAACATTTTTTATATATGAGAGAGAGAGAGAGAGAGAGAGAGAGAGAGAGAGAGAGAGAGAGAGAGAGAGAGAGAGAGAGAGAGAGAGAGAGAGAGAGACGGTGTTGTGGGTGTGTGCATGCTTGGATGTGTACATATATATTTATGTGCATTTGTATACATGTGTCTCTGTATATCCATCTATACCTCATCGATCTGTTTATTTGTAAGTGCATATATGCATCCATTCATGTGTAGAAACAACGGCGGAGCAATGGCTAGCACGCCGAACTCCCTACAAAAAATGTACTAATTGGAATTCCGGGTCGGCTACATTGTTGTGTCCTTGCAATAGGGCAATTATTTCCAATTACCTCGGCAATAAATATCGTATTTGAATTACTGCGTCATAAAGCATAAAACCAAACCATCAATGTGTACATACATACATACATACATACATACATACATACATACATACATACATACATACATACATACATACATACATACATACATACATACATACATACATACATACATACATACATACATAAAAAGATCACAAATCACTTCAAATTGTTCACAAAGTTATTTCCTAAAATTATTCGTTGACAAAATTCTGAGTAAAATCGTTGTTCAAAACCATGTAGATATAGGACACAAAAATACCTTGTGAGTCAAGGATAAAAGTCATTTCAATACCTTTGCATTCAAATTTTAATAGTGTGTTTAATAGTCAGTATTCCATCTTACAACAGAGGCTTGAAAGTATTGCAGATAAGTGTTTTGTAAATTTTTTAATAGCCCTTTCTATCCCTGATTATGAGTTTGTTAAGCGCAGGATCGGCCCTAGGATGTGCGGGGCCCAAGTCAGCAAGCGATGAGCGTGGAGCCCCAAGCAAGAAAAACTGCATTGTGGAAAAGCGCAGGGCCCAAGGGGGGTCGCTTCGTTCTACTTGCCTTAGGGCCGGGCCTGGTGAGACGGTGGTATAAATGTGAAATTTGGATTTGAATCAATAGAGATATCAATGTGGTCTATACAATATAACTGTTTCTAGACTGTTGGATAGCTCATAACTAAAGCTAATATTGAGAAAGTATAAAATGATTTTTGTCTTCCCCAGTAAATCTGCTAATATCATCCACCCTTGACATATATGGCATTTATAGAAAGCCAGCAATTGATTCACAAGCATGGTCACTTATATCATGAACATTTACGAGCAAAAAGATGCTTGGTTTACACAAGTTGTGCTGGTAAATCTAATCGTGGCATTTGTGTGGGTTATAAAAAGAAACGTTTATGAGTAAATTTTTGAAAACTCATTTCTTATATTTGGAAACTAAATCTACCATAAAATTGTATTACGTGGACGTTAATGGAGTCCATTACCTCGTCATACCGTTCATGGCTGCAAAGACGCCAAATTTCTGTGATCGACCGATACGCACTTTGATTATTATATTCGTATGTCCAACAGATCTCTTCCAATACTATGTCTTGAATAGGTTTGCTCTTCGTTTTGTTCTTATTTGTGTGTTTCGTGAGATCAAAACGGAGTTAGCGGTAGTGTACTTCTTAAAGTTAATTAACGGAAAACGTTGGTAATCTAGTTGGTCTGTTCCCAAGATGGCGAAAACGTTGAAAATAAAAAGGGGAAAGCGGGGGTTTCATTTCAGAACGCTGCCACAAATTCAGAAACGAGAGAAGCAGTAGCAAGAAATTAACACAGAGACAAAACTTCAAAACTTGATTTTAAGGTCCCTGTCAACTTCAGGATAATGCAGGAAGTCGCCGCCAAGGAGACATGTATCAGATCTGTGCTACCAATATCACTCTTGGTCTTATAGTTTAAGTTCATTTACAAAACTACAACCCTACTGAAGGTGAGATTGGCGATTTCTCATCTACACTTTAATTAATAACTTTAATTTTTAAAAATAGTATCCTGAATGAAAAGAAACCTGACATTTTCTATCTACTACCAAGTGTCAGCATTGAATATTTTAATTGCAAAGACATGTAAAAATATTATGAACATAACTTTTAATCCATGAAGGCAAAAGAAGAAAAGAAGACCCCCACACACGAGTTTCTATATTTATGATATATTTGTACGTGCCTATGTCTTTTTTTTCTGTCGTTTCATTAATTTCTCATACATTTATTCAGCTATCTTTTTGTATAGTTGTATGACTATTTGAAGTCTGGATACATGTTGCACTTTAAATTTGATGACAGTTTTTAATGATCTTGATTAGAACTGTGGTAACCTTGAAATAGACAACCGTGGGAATGGGGTTGGTGGTATATATCGGTTACAAATTTCCGACATTTTTCTTTCTGTTTTGCAACTTATTTCGGAACATTCTAATTATCATTTAAATGATACTCAGACATTTTGAAAAGTTTAATTCTTTTGTATTCAACAAAACCAGTAAACACTGCTATCAAAAGTAATTTTAACCAAAATCATGAAGTTTATTCAAGACACATATTTGGGAAAAATAAATGTTATATATTATGTATAAAACAATAAAGAGAATTTTGCAAAAGCAGCGGATAACACAGTCGTGCATAATTCTGGATTGTTATTTATTGTTGTTAATGATGATTCACCGCAACCGTATACTTTATTTTCCATGATGGAAAATTCGTCCGACTAAATACATTACCAACTGTATAAAGTTATAATGAATGACAGATCTTTTACATACATACATACATACATACATACATACATACATACATACATACATACATACATACATACATACATACATACATACATACATACATACATACATACATACATACATACATACATACATACATACATACAGAGACAAACAGACATACGTACAAAGATACACATACATACATTTTTACATGCATACATACATACATACGTGCGTGCGTGCATGCCTGTCTGCCTGCCTACCCGCCTGCCTGCCTACGTACGTACGTACGTACATACATACATACATACATACATACATACATACATACATACATACATACATACATACATACATACATACATACATACATACATACATACATACATACATACTGGATGTGGAAGTAGTGATTAAACTGTGACGGAAAGCAATTGCAGATTTTCGGCATTAGTAGCAGCTGCAGCATTTGTTGTTGTTGTAGTTTTAATAACCACATGATAAATATAATAAGAGAAAACATAACAAAACAGCAAAAAATCTGTTCAGATTCTACTTTGATCGCCTCTCCGGGTTGTCACAGATACCTGTAGCTAGCTGTAGCATAGGTTGGGTAATCTCTTCTTCTATATTCTTCCAAGCAATGTAAAATAATAATGAATATTCCAGAACCAGTCTGTAAAAACTTCTCCACTGCCCTTTGGTGGCGCTCACCAGTTATTATGTACTTTTGAGAGAGTGATGTATGTAAGGTGAAGTTGTTTGCATTTTAAACATGCACAGGTGCAAAGAATGTTGGCATACCTATATACTACTTTCATGTAATGTGGATGAAATTTCTTTGGATATTGTACTTTTGGAAATTTTAAATGATCTTGGGACACTGCTAACTAAAATGACTGCTCCCTTGTGCTCCAAAAATCAACCTAAATTTGTCTAAAGTACACTATACTTGGCAGCTATTAAAATATGGAAAATGAATTTTGCCAAACTAGATAATACCAGCTTCTAAAAGTGCAATGACTGAATTACCAAATACATAAAATGTAAAAAAGTTATCGGCTTTTTTTTTTACAATTTATGTCTGAAGTTCGAGAAGTGAAAATGAGCAAGTAGAGCTAGCACGTTTTTAAAAGATGCACATCTGGAGTAAGGCCAAGCTGTATATTCTCTAACCCATATTACACCCATCAATCATACATCAAAATAAAGGGAATTAAAGGTTCTGTGAACAACACCTAAGATATACAAAGTCTCTTTTAAATAACCAGTATAACTAGTGAGGCAACCCAGGGAAACTCTTTTTCTTTAAAATTTTAACCCATGCTAAATACGAAACTGTAGAGCGCCACTTTTACATTCTAGATTTTCCTACATGGGTAGATTAGATGTAACATATGCGATGTACATTCAATAAACTGAGTAAAAAAATTAAATAAAGCACCATGATGAACACGTTCAAAAATGAAGCGTGATGGACGTTGGACTCTACTAGACTAGCTAAAATTATTCAAATAAATTGTTTATCGAAAACAAATACATAATCTGGAATATTATTCTGTCCCTGTATGGTTCCCATTCTTAGAAATGAACAGTACATTTTAATATAGTATCTCACACATCACGTTGTATATGGTTATAACATTTCATCTCACAGTTCACGCTATTTTTGGTTTTAATATATCATCTCACCTCGCGTTATTTTGTGATTTTTATATCTCGTCTCACACCTCACGATATGTTTTAAAATACACCATTTTATTTGTGTGTGTGTGTGTGTGCGATTTACATTTTTAACGTAGCTTTAACAGTTTTGCAGTCATATCGCTACTATGTATGCAGTGTGACAGTTTATAATGATGCATAGAAAGATATCCCACCCAGTCCCATTATCCTGACACCTGGCCGACCAGTCCTAACACTAACTTCTTAATGCTGAGCGCCAAGCGAGGCAGCTTATGGTCCATTTTATAAATTCTTTGGTAAGACTCAACCGGGGATCGAACCCGCGGTCTCCCAAATCCGAGGCAGACACTCTAACCATTAGGCCACTTTTGTAAAGACAATACACATCGTACTGAATAGTTTCAATATCAGGAACTTATTTTTTCTATTTTTCCATATATTTAAATCGAAAAGTTTTATTTATAAAATTTATAATGCATGCAAGGCAGCCACGTTCCCCATTTTATTTTAAGGGCACGTTCTGCTATTTATATCGATAGTAGCCAACTGTTTCTTTGCGTTGATCCTTGTCTATGCAATCATGGGAGCGATCTAAGAGTTCCATGTTATTTTAAAACACGGCTAAAAATGTGATTGATCCAGTACCGTGGGGACAAGGCAGATCAAGTTACAACGACGTAGGTGGCCTGCTGGGAAATCAAAGTCAAGCTCTGGAATAAGAAATGTTGAAGGCAATAACGACACTCATAGTGGAATCTGTGGTATGAACGTTTTAGTCATAATATGAACATGTCCAGAAACCATTTGCTTTTAATCATTTGGTTATGGCCCAATTCAGGGGTGCGCAACACAATATTTGGGCAACACGTGCCCACTGACGTATTTTGTGCGGCCCACGGCCCGTGTCCCTGCTTCACACAAAACCTTTCGAACTGCGGCTCTCTTACGTCAATTCTGGTCCATGTAAACGTCGAAATATTGCACCCTGACCTAATTAGTAAAATTTGCACTTATAAAGACTTTTTTTAGGTCTGAGGTATATCAATTAAATATATTTAAAGGTTGCTGCATTTGTATGGGAAGGTATGAACGAGGTTAATAATAATGCACGCCATTATGAGTACAGTATGAGTTCACAATTTCTCATACAAATGAAGTACTCTTTTTATTATATGCTCATTTTGCTTTTCGACTAAGGCTGAATAATAAAAAGATACACTACAAGAAACAAAGTAATTGAACTTTTTCTTGATTCCAAAGCAAATGCACATGTGTAGTTCCAACACATGTAATTCTGATCAGCAGAAATACCTAAGAAAATATATTTTGAGGAAATTCAAAATTCAGTTCATTCACAGATAAACCTAATAAATCAATAGCTCCAGCATCCGCTAAATGAACGTATCTTGTTTGTTTCCAATCTCAAGTAGTTCCTAACAGATGATACTAATTTTAGACACACGTGTCGTACAGTATGTTAGACACACGTGACGTGCAGTATGACGCAGTGCTGTTTGGAAAAATACTACACCATTATGACAATGTAAGTTGACTGAGAAAAGAAATCATCATACAATAAATTTACTTTTAAAACATAACTTTTCCAATAAATGTTCGTCTTATATCGATGACATAATCATGATGCAAACTTTAATGTAATTCTAGTCCGTGATTTGGAGAGGATTGTTCATTTTTGGTTTTCGCACAATAACAATTTATCAAAGACGTTGATAAAATTATTAATAAAGAATGTATCAGACATGCCAATCACTTGGTGCATTGGTAGAGTGTCGACGTGTCGTGCACGATATGCAAGTTCGAATCCACTTGAAATTTAATTTTACTTCAACATTTTACCCAAATATTACCTTAAATTATGAGAACTATTACAATGCTTATATTTTTCTATGCAAATGCACACTTAAGATAGAATAACACAAACATTTAACATCTCACATTACCGTAAGACATTGAGGGGGATTTTAATGTTTTAAATCCCTCTCTTTACAGTCCCAATGGATCAGGATATATGTTACTTGTTTTACTGATTATTCCTAACTGTCCACACTGAGTATTAACATCATCGAGATCATTCCCTAGCTAACGACGCTGAATGAATGGATCAGGATCTATGTTACTTGTTCTAATGATTATTCCTAACAAATTACATAGATCAGATCTGTACGCACCTAATGCAATGGTTGATCTAGGTGTGAGCAGTTTTCAGCTGGACTCTTCTTCTAAGTGAATATATACCAGAGTCAAAGATGTGAAAAATGACGTAATATTGGACTTGCTTGTGACCATGGTTAACAAAATAAGCATTTTAAAATCTCTTCAGTGATATCAGTTTACATTCCAATTAGATTAAACCTTTGCTCTTTTGTTTAAGTAACCTTCTGGTAATCAGCTGGAACTGACTGTTGGCAAATTTATATCAGATTCCAAACTAAAAATAACAAGAATAGACCATTTGAAGAAAAAAAAATGTATTTAGAGAAAGTTGATAAATTCATATATTGGTTAATTTGAGTAATACATCTTGCTATAGACAAGGAAACAATTTTACTTAAACAGGCATTTTGAAAACAAATTGGTCAAATTGTTCTATAAAGGAGACAGTCATTCTTTTTGACAACTAAAGATGCAAACATGCATTCCTCCTTTTTATTAGCTTCCTTTTTGTCTTTGTTTCTTTCTTTACATGTTTGTTTTTTCACTTCAAGATCTTTCACAACATTTGTAATATCCATCATCATCTGCATAATTGTCCTCTAATTCAGCCATCAAGTTTTTCAGATCATTGAAGGAATATGATTTTGATGAGGAATGTTCACATGTAGGGGACTTCTCTCCTTTGTCAGTGTTTACTTTAATCTCCACATTGTGTTTGTCATCTTGCTTTCTGCTTTCAGCCCTGACCTTTTTTTTGTCAACCATGACCCCCTTAACTTCTTTTCCATCATCCTTAACTTTCTAAAACTTTTTTTCTGTCATCTTTAATATCCTTTGTGTCTTTGCTTCTTTTTGCATGTGTTTGTTTTTTCTCTTCAAGATCTTTCACAACAGTCTTAGTATTGCTTTTCACATCATTAATGCTGTCAATTTTACTTGATGACTTTTCCTTTGAAATTTTATTTTCATCCTTTGTGAGTTTTGGGACTGGACATGGTACATTTGTTGGTAGCTGAATTCCATTTTGTGTCTTATTTTTGGTGTCACTGATATCTGAAGATCTGGACTCAACTAATGGTGAATTGTTAGCTGATAATTTTTGCTGCAAAAAGATATTTACAGGGTCTGTAATATCATCTTCATCATCTTCAGAAATGTCCTCCACTAAAGCCATCAATTGGTTCAGATCACTTAAAGAATAAAAATAATTAGAAGTTTTGCTAGAACTGGAATTAAGGTCATTATGTGAGTCACTTCCACTAATTTCCCCCAAAATGTCATCATTTGGCTTTGAGGAACTTGAGATGGAAAGATCCTCCTTCAATTCCATTGAGGTAACTTTTGACAAAGGCTTGACATTGACTCGTTGCCTTTTAGCCATTGAAACTTCCAATGCTGATAATGGGGAACCAGATCTCTTTCTGTGTTCTGACTTGGTTTTCTCTGCATTTATGTCTGTAATATCATCTTCATCATCTTCAGAAATGTTCTCCACTAAAGCCATCAATTGGTGCAGATCATTTGAAGAATAAAAATGATTAGAAGTTTTGCTACAACTGGAATCAAGGTCATTATGTGAGTCACTTCCACTAATTTCCCCCAAAATGTCATCATCTGGCTTTGAGGAACTTGAGAGGGAAAGATCCTCCTTCAATTCCATTGAGGTAACTTTTGACAAAGGCTTAACACTGACTCGTTGCTTTTTAGCCATTGAAACTTCTAATGCTGATAATGGGGAACCAGATCTCTTTCTGTGTTCTGACTTGGTTTTCTTTGTATTTGTGTCTGTAATATCATTTTCATCATCTTCAGAACTGCTCTCCAAATCAGCCATCAATCTTTTCAGATCACTCAATGAATAGATCTGGCTAGAAGTTTTGCTTATAGTGGAAGCTGAAGCAGACTTGACCGCTGTTTTGTCTTCCTTGACCTTCTTTTCATCATTTTTTGCTTCTTTTTTGTCATTTTTCCCCTTTTTCTTGTCATTTATTAATTCTTTAGATGTTTGCTTTTCCCTTGAACTTTGGATTTGCTGGACCTTTTTCTTGGCGGAAGAGGAAGAGGAGGAGGATGTAGAAGCAGCAGCATGGTCCTTGTCCAACTTTTGTTTATCTGATGATTTCAATGATGCACTGATGTCTTTCAAACTACTGCTTGGCTGTTTATCTCCAGAACAATTCAGTGTTAGCTTTGAAACTTTCTCCTGTTAAATGAAATTAAAAATTATTTAAACACATTTCAAATGGATTATCAATTCATTGTAATTTATATTGCACATTATGTATTAAATTTAATTGATATAGTACAGTCTTATTTCTACAAACATGGTCTATGATAGTGCAAAAAACTGATAAGGTGGGGGGTAGTGCTAACTAAATGTTACCCTTCCCAAAGAAAAGGTTTCAAAAATGCAGAGAAGAAAAGTTTTAAAGTGTGTGTGTGTGTGTGTGTGTGTGTGTGTGTGTGTGTGTGAGGGGAGGTGAACTTCTCCAAATTAGCATTAACATGTACACGAAACAATAGAAATGATAAAGATGCTAAGATTGTATAAAAAGTATATAAATTAAAATGATTGCTTTAGAAAAGAAATCCCAAAATGACAATATTTATATTTCTAATTTATATGCTGTAGTTATTCTAACAGATATAACTGGGGCAGAGTAATTTCCAAGGAGGAGTGCGTGTGCATTGACTATCATACATCACTGTTAGACTGAAAATCTTTGTAAATTGTTTTGATATTTCTAACAGTCGTTGAATTACTCATTTACTGTTTAGATTATTTGGACATACCTTAATGAATAGGTACTGATCTATAATCCTTCACAAGATAGGAATATTTTGTGGAATAATTGGGGCATTTATTGAAGGGAGGGGCTAATATTAAAATAAATACAGTAATCATCATGTCTTCTGATTTTATGTACATATGTCAAGCTACATTGGTTAATTTCAAATTACTTAAAACTTTATTTAGAAAAAAGGGAAAATGCTATGGAAACTTAAATTAATAAGAAATGACACTGAAAATACTTCTCCCTATCTGGCATATGAACATCTCCTAAAGTAGATGCCTAAGTGCAGAAAGTTTTATTATATATCTGAGAACTCAAAGTTATGCTGCCAAAAGGAAAGGGTCAATGGATGGACAGATGCAAACATAAATACTATGTATCCCAAATTTTTTTAATGCAGTGATACAG